CGAGACACTGAAAAATACATAATGTATGATTACATGTATAAAGTCCAAGACAAGCAAAACAAATCTGTGGTGAAAGAAATCTGCAGAGGACTGGTTAGGGTAAGGATTGGACTGTTGACCACAAAGGTGAACAGGTGAACTTTCTGGGGTATTTATCTCATTGTTTTGGGTGACAGCTACAGGTATATACAATTGTTAAACTTCATCAAGCTGAACATTAAGTGATACTTCTTTTTTTTTTTAATTAAGGTTTTTACCATAGGGCATGTTTACTAGTAGGAGAGAGTCAGAGAGAAAGTGAGAAATCCCCCACAGGGGACAGCCACACTGCAGTGCTATCTCCTCCATTCTCCTCTCAGCAGTTTGGGCATGCAGGTACCTGGTGTGATTTTCAAGCCACCAGGTCTGGGGTGTCAACTGTGAGAGTCCAGAGCCTTAATCACCATGCCACCTGTTGATCTCCATACTTCAATCTTTTTTTTTTTTTTTGAAAAAAGAGTTTTTTTGCACTAGGGCATAAGCACTTGCCTGAGACATACAGAAAGACACACAGAGAGAAAATGAGGAACATCTCTTCGTGGGAGCGGGGAGATGATGGCCACTTCGCAATTCCTTCTACATTCTCTACTTGAGATTTGCCTGGTATGAGTTCCAAGCTGCAGAGTTTGGTACTTGAACACCAGTCAGCCATGTGGGAGTACAGCAACTTAACCACTATGCCACCTAATGGCCCCCATACTTCAATTTTTAAAAACTGTTTTTCTTAGGGCCAGCAGGTGGCTTGATGGTTAAGGCAGCTGGATTTCCACATGGCTGAATGCCACGTTCAAGTCTTGGACCTGACAGATTGCTTTCTCTCCCACTTTCCTTCTCTGTCTCTGTCTGATCAACTTCAAAAAATAAAAATATAGGGAACCAGCAGTTAGCGTAATGGCTATGTCGCTGGACTCCCACGTAGTCGATCGCGGTTCGTGTCCCGGACCTGGTGGCTTAAAACTCACGCCGGGCGCGTGTGCGTGCGTGCCCAAGATCCCGGGAGGAGAATGGAGGAGAAGGGATTGCGGCGTGACCATCCCCCCTGGGGGGTGATTTCTCGCTTTCTGTCTCTATGTCTCTCTCTGTCTGTCTGGCGAGCGCACGCGCCCTATAGTGAAAAAAAAAAAAAAAAAAAACCCTCTCAAAAAATAAAAATATAATAATTTAAAAAGACAATGAATACATATTTTTTTTAAAAAGTGCTTTTCTTAAAAGAATTAAATATTACTTATTGAGTCCATAACTGCAGAATACAAAAGAAACTGAAAAATAAATCCCTAAGTCATGAATGTAACAAAAGAGATGATTTACAAATCTAAGTTTAAAAAAATGAGGAACTGGAAAAGGGAAAATGCATAATAGATGAGAGCTTTTAAATTGTATTATAAATTCAAAATCTCAGTGAACTAGTTTTGTGAAAAAAATACTGTAAACAAACACAGAACTACAACCATCATCACAAAAATACCTGACTGGGATCACCAAAGAAACTTGAAAGGTCATTGAAGATTACCTCTAAGAAAATGATACACATATATGCATACTTGTCAGAAATGCTTAACCAGAATCTGAGCCTCCAGTCTTAGGGTGCCATTTATAAGAATTTGAGGAAATACAGAAGGAACAAGTTAAATGACAATACAAGGAAATAAAGACCTAAAGTAGGGAATATTTTCCAAGACAATGGGCCAGTTCTCTTCCAAAAGTCAACTGTTATTTTAAAAAAATGGGTGGGTGGGATACTGTGCTAGATCAGGGGTAGCCAGTTTTTTTTTCTGTAAATGGTAGAAGAGTAAATATTTCAGTCTTTGTGGCTGTCCAGTCCCTGTTACTCAATTCTGCTGCTGCAGCATAAAAGCAGCTCAGGCAATAGATAAACACGCATGGCTGTGTTTCAGTAAAACTTTATAAAATAGAGACTGAAATCTGTATTTTTTTATACATTCACCTCATAAATTATTACTGTTCTTTTGAGTTTTTTTGCCTTTTAAAAATGTAAAATTCACACAGTCCACAGGCCATACAAAGATAGATGGTAGGCTGGATTTGGCTGGCAAGCCATTTTTGGGGGTACTCACTGTAAATTAAAAGAACAAAGAGACAAAAGCTGAACATTATTAATAAACCTAATCAGATCTCCCAAGATGGGAAGGAAGAACACCCAAATTTAAAACGTTTGGGATTGGGGCCAACAGGTGGCATGGTGGTTAAGGTGCTGGACTCCCATGTGGTCAACAGTGGTTCAAGTCCTGGACCTGGCTGCCTACTTTCTCACTCTCCCCCATTCTCTCTCTCTGGTCAAATTAAAAAATAGTAATAATAATGATAAATAAAATTAAATAAATAATTCTTTTTTCAAAAAATAAAACATTTGGGATTAACTGGAAAAATCTGAACATGGGGACCAGCAGGTGGCATCGTGGTTAAGGCACTGGACTTCCACATGATCGACTATGGCTCGAGTTCCAGACCCAGTGGGTTGAAACTCATGCTGGACGCAGAGACATGCATGCCCAAAATCCCAACAAGAGAATGAAGGATAAGGGACTGTGGTGTGGCCATCCCCCTTGGGGGTGATTTCTCACTTTCTGTCTCTCTCACTGGTGAACACACATGCCCTAAAACAAAAACCTCTCAAGAAAAAATCTGAACATGAATTAAAAATTATTATTATAATTATTTGCCTATATAGGTATTATAGCTACACAGAATATCCTTACACTTAGAAGGTGCCTACAAAGGTACCAGTTTGTAATTTAGTTTCAAACAGTTCAGAAAAGCATATACACAGAAAGAAAAATTATTGGGTTGTCAAGAAAGTCATGACACATTTTTGCATAACGTGTCATGACTTTCCTGACAACCTAATATACATAGCTATCCGTTGGTGTTTGTAGGAGACTGGTTCTAGAACCCCCCGTCAAATGTCAAAACCCACAGACGCTCAAGTTCCTTGTTAAAAAAGGTACAGTATTTGTACAAAAGCTACATAATTCTCCCATATACTTAAATTACCTCTAGACTAACGTAAGTGAAAAGACAAATATATAGGGGGACCAGCAGTTAGCGTAATGGCTATGTCGCTGGACTCCCATGTAGTCAACCGTGGTTCGAGTCCCGGACCCGGTGGCTTAAACTCACGCCGGGCACGTGTGCGTGCGTCCCCAAGATCCCGAGAGGAGAATGGAAGAGAAGGGACTGCGCTGTGGTCATCCCCCCTGGAAGGTGATTTCTCACTTTCTGTCTCTCTGTCTGTCTCTGTCTGTCTGGTGAGCGCATGCGCCCTATAGCAAAACCTCTCCAAAAAAAAAGAAAAAGACAGATATATAGGTAATGTTATTCAACATTCTTTAGAGAACCACCTTTCTCGTATTTCAGAACAACTTGGATCCCATATGGCTGGCTGACTGGTTGAATCCCAGACCCAGCAGCTTGGGGAAAAAAACAAAAAACAAAACCAAAAAAACAATGGACATATATGTGTATATGCCCAAAATCCTAAAGAGGGAGAAATGAAGAAGCAATTATTGCAGTGTAACCTTTCCACATAGTGGGTGCTTTTTAACTCCTCCCTCTCATTTCTGTTTCTCTCCAGCAAACACATATATCTTTTTTTTTTTTAAGAATTATTTTATTTAACTTTATTTATTTATTTTAACTTAACCAGAGAAGGACAGAGAGAGAGAGAGAGAGAGAGAGAGAAAGCAAGCTGCCAGATCTAAGGCTTGAACCACGGTCAGCCATGTGGGAGTCCAGCGTCCTTAAACATCAATGCCACCCATCTTCTGGCAAATTTGAAAAATCAAACAAAAAACAACAAATAGACAAAAACACGATCCAAGAATTATTTCATGGTCAAGAGTTATTTCAAATTAATTAAAGAATGGAGATATGGGGGACAGAAGATGGCATAATGGTTACGTCATTAGACTCTCACATAGTTGACCATGGTTCAAGTCTTGGGCCTGGTGACTTAAAATTCATGCTGGATGTGTGTGTGCACATCCCCAAGATCTCAAGAGAACAGAAGAGAGAGGATTGTGGTGTGGCCACCCATCCTGGGGTGTTAATTCTCCCTTTCTATCTCTCTGTCTCTTTGGCGAGCACACATGTCATATAGCAAAAATATCTCTTAAAAAAAAAATAAAAGGAGATATGAACAAAGTATAAATTACTTAAATGTCAAACAACAGAACTGTGACTTGGATTATAGTATGATACTTAAATTACAAAAATCTTTTTAAAAATTGACAAAATTTATATAAGATATAACTAAAAAAGTTTATACATACAGTTTCTGTATGACTATAAGGAAATTCTTCAAAAAATTAACAAAATACTTTTATGGCTAGTGAAATTCTGATGAGTGTATATCTGATTCTAAATTTTCCAGTCTTTTCTTTTCTTTTTTTGCAGAGGTTTTTGCCATAGGGCGCGTGTGCTCACCAGACAGACAGAAAGAGACAGAGAGACAGAAAGCGAGAAATCACTCCCTGGGGGGATGGCCACACTGTAATCCCTTCTCTTCCATTCTCCTCTCGGGATCTTGGGCACGCACGCACATACGCCTGGCATGAGATTTAAGCCACTGGGTCTGGAACGCGAACCATGGTCTACTACATGGGAGTCCAGCAACATAGCCATTATGCTAACTGCTGGTCCCAAAATTTCCCAGTCTTTATCATTTAAAGAAATATGTTATTTGTGTACAATTCTCACACACACAAAAAATGTTCACAAATATATGCCTAAATTTATGAAAAATGGCTCACTTTTTCTCTAAGAATCATACCTTAGAGATGTTAACCAAGAGGAGAAAATAAGATCATTCTGAAAGAAGAAACTAGAATATTACTCAAAGCTCCTGTCAGAGTTCTACAAAACATTTCAGAATTGACTATTATTTTCAACTTGACTATTATGTAAAATATGAAAGGAAATACGGAACATAGCCCTTTACTTACCATCTTCTGCTAAGATCTTGGCTGCATCTTTATCATCTTCCCACTTCCCAGTCACGAAGCAATCTCTGATGCTATTCATAACCTTACACAGAAAAGCCAGCGTTTAGTTGATGTGCTCTAATTACTCAACAAAACAGCAGCTAGTAAGAAATGATAGTGACTACTTGCCTTTAAATACTTCTCAAAACCCTTTCACAAATATTCTCATTCCAAGCGAGCCTTTGAGATAACTTTACTTTTGATGTAGATATAGCCACAGAGATAAAACAAAAATGTTGTAACATTAAACATAAGATGGGAAAAATACTATTAATTAGCCCACTGATCTTATAAGCAAACACTAATTGACTTAGTTTCTGAGGTTTATTAATGTTTTCAAGGCAATGCATTCATTTTATAAAGCTGGTCTTGTTACTTGTTAATCCAAACCTATCATGATCACTTGAAAACTTAATTCCTAGAAAACAGAAAAAAATTTGCAAATCATTTACTCTATAAGGGACTTGTATGCAGAATATATGAACAACTCTTACAACTAAATAATTCAGTATTTGAAAAAGGACAGATATAAATAGGTACTTCTTCAAGGAATATGTACAAATGTCCAAGGAATATGTACAAATGGCCAATATATACATGAAAAGAGGGAACAAGCAGTTAGCATAATGGCTATGTCACTGGACTCCCACGTAGTCGACCATGGTTCGCGTCCTGGACCCAGTGGCTTAAAACTCACGCTGGGAGCGTGTGCATGCGTGCCCAAGATCCCGAGAGCAGAATGGAGGAGAAGGGATTGCGGCGGGGCTATCCCCCCTGGGGGGGGATTTCTCGCTTTCTGTCTCTCTGTCTCTGTCTGTCTGGCGAGCGCACGCACCCTATAGCGGAAAACCTCTCCAAAAAAAAAAAAAAAACCACGAAAAGATGTTTATATGATTAGCTATCAGGGAACTACAAGTGAATGCCACAATGAGATACTACTTTATACATGCTAGGATGGCTATAATCAAAAAGATAGATGATTATTTATCAAGTTTTGGTGAGGATGTGGAGAAATTGGTGGGAATGTAAATAACACTGCTGGTGAGAATGTAAAATGGCACAACCATTTTTGAACAGAGAAATGAGAATGCACATAAGGCGATAAAAAGTTAAACTGTCTTCATAATCACATTAATGGTAACATGAGTGGCCAGCCCTGCAGCCTAGTGGTTAAGGGAGCTGGATCCCACATGACCACCATAGATTGTATCCCTGCCCTGGTAGCTTAAAAAACATTATGGGTATGTATGTGTGCATACATGCCCAAAATCTTAGATGGGATAGAGAAATGAAAGAAAACAGTTAGCATACGACCACACCCTATGGGAGGGATGCTTTTTCCCTTTTTCTCTAGGGAGCACATGCCAATCTGGTAATTAAAAAAAAAAAAGTAACATGACTAATGCTATTCTGACATTGTTTTGTACGTAATATGGGATAAAGCAAAGAATTAAGTGATTTTCTAATTTTATTATCTTCAGATTTCTCTAGGGAATAATTCTACAATGGAAAAACAAATGCAGAAATAAGATGCGGTTCTGAATGTGAATTGGAAATACCTGTTACATCACTGGACTCCCACATGGTCAACCATAGTTTAAGTCCCAGTCCTGTCAGCTTGAAACTTATGCCTGGTGTATGGGCATGCGTGCCCCAAATCCCAGAATAGAACGGAGGAGAAAGGATTGCAATGGGGCCATCCCCCTGGGGAGGTGGGGGTAGGAGATGACTTCTCACTTTCTGTCTCTGTCTCTCCAGTGAGCACAAGCATCCTATAGCAAAATTCTCTCTAAAACGAAATAAATATAGTTTATGTTCTTCATTTTTCTGCACCTGTTACTCTTGATGATCACAATTATCCTCTGTGGTCTGTGGGACTCTCTTCTCATTGGCTTCTGAATCATGACACAATCCTAATCATTCATGATGCCTTCTTTTGTCTCTGATGTAATAGACTTCCAGCATCATCTTGTTTGATTTTTTGTTTTATTGCTGCTGTTTGTTCTTTTTTTTAAAGAAATTTTTGCATGTACACTCACTGGCAAAACAGACAGAAAGCAAGCAATCACCCCCAAGGGGGGATGGCCACACTCCAATCCCTTCTCCTCCATTCTCCTCTCAAAATTTTGGTTGAGTTTAAGTCACTTGGTCTAGGACTCGAACCAGCAGTCGACAATGTGGGAGTCCAGCAATGTAACCACTACACCCTCTGCTGGTCCCAAACAAACTACATTTAAATCCATGACTTCATAAAGACACTTAAAAAAAAAAGTCACTTAAAAAAAACCCTTTTATTTATTTATTATTTATTTATTTATTTTTAATTTGATGACAGAGAAAGAGAGAGGCAAAGTGAAAAAGCAAGCCACCAGGTTCAGGACTCAAACCACAATTGGCTATTTGGGAGCCAAGCACCTTAACCAGCATGCCTCCTGCCAGCCCCTAGGGTCACCTTGGAGAATCATTCTAAAAATGGGTTTTAAAAAATAAAGCATTTTTCCCGCTTATGTGGAACTGTGAAACTAAACAGTAGATGAGGGGAAGCTTATCTTGTATAGAAGTATTCTGGCTAATCAATAAATGGGACAGAACCTCACCATTCTACATCTTCAAGAAATTAATGGTTCTAAGCATTGAACACCAACAATCACAGGGGCAAACAACTAGACTTTGCGTACTTCCTAATAAAGAAACACCAACACGGAGGAAGGCATGTTGCCAAGAAATAAACTTCAAGCTTGAATCTCATCAAACTTCTAGATGTGTTCTCACGAGGTAACTATTAAATATCAACTTAATTAAGGTTAAAATTTAAATAAAATTTGAAATTTTGTTCTTCAGTCTCACTAGCCACATTTAAAATGCTCAATCACCACATTAGACAGCTCATATAAAGACTATATTGAACATTCCCATTGTCACAGAAAGATGTATTAGAATTGCCCTGTATCCTAAAAGACCTACAAACAAAACTATCATATGATCCAGCAATTCCACTCGTAGGTATCCACCCAAAGGATAGGAGGATTCTCAGTCAGAAAAGCGACTGAGCATCCGTGTTTACTGCAGTATTGTTTATGATAGCTAAGACATGGAACCAACCCAAATATCCACAAACAGATGAATGGATTGGAAAAGTGTGGCACACATACTCTATAGAATACTACTCCACCATAAAAAACAAGACCCTGGCATTTGATAGAAAGTTGTCGAATATGAGAGATTTATTGCTGAGTGAAGAAACCCAGGTTATGAAAGAAAGATACTGTATGTCTCCATTTAATATATACCGACTGTTCACACTCTATGGTACAGACAGAGAGAATGGAAGACATAAAAGCATTGAAATAGCTGTGGACACTGGAGACAGTGTGGAAGGAGGGTGGGAGAGGGGAAGAATATAGGGAAGAAAATTAGGGGGGAAAATAGAGAGGCAAGATGTTTGTGGGACAATTCTCTTTGCAAGCCAAATGATGTATAGTGATTGAATGTATATCATAAAAGATAATAATAATAAAGTAAAAAACAAAAGCAACTAACCATACTTGACTTCCGGGAAACCAAAGTCAGAAGAGGCTGGGGAGGAGATATTATGCCCGTGGATTATACTCTTCCTGAATAAGTTATTTGAAGACAGACAGCAACTAAGGGTTGAATAAAAATTTTAAAACCCTTAAAAAAAAAAAAAAAAAAAAAAGGAAGAAGAAGAAGAAGAAGAAAAAAAAAGAACTGCCCTGTACCAATTTAGAGGAAATACAGAATGCTAGGTAGCCCATGAAATACAGACCATGAGAAATTCTGTAACCCAAATACTAAGTTCCTTAAATAAATAAAATATAAGAAAAAAGAGGGGGTGGGAGAAGAGGATTATAAATTAAGAGATTTAAAAGGCAGAGTAGGGCCTGCTGGTGGCTTGGTAGTTAAGGTAGGTGGGTTCCACATGGCCAGTTGTGTGGTTCAAGTACTGGACCCAGTGGGACTTGAAAAACACACTGGGCACATGTGCATGCCCAAAATCCGAAAGGAAGAAATGGATTGTGGGAGTGACCATCTCTCATGGGGGTATGTGTGTGGGGGGTATTTTTTCACTTTCTCTGTCTCTGATGAGAGCCCTCTAGTGTACACACACACACACACACACACACACACACACACACACACACACACACACACACACACACACACACACACACACACACACACACACACACACACACACACACACACACACACACACACACACACACACACACACACACACACACACACACACACACACACACACACACACACACACACACACAGGGGAAGAATAAAAAGCAATAATAAAAAAACAGATAAAATTTGACTATGGTGTTTTGTGATGTAAACTTTAAGGATGAAATATTTAAAAAAAAAAAAAAAAGGGAAATGGGGGCCGAAATGTGGCATGGAGGTAAGGCAGCTGGATTCCACAAGGCTGAGTGTACAGTTAGTCCTGGACCAGGCAGCCTTAAAATCAAGCTCTGTGTGTGTGTGTGTGTGTGTGCGTGCATGTCCAGAATCCTGAGGAGAAAGTAAGGTGGGGATTGTGGTATGGCTAACCAGCCCAGGTGAGCATTTGCTCCCTATAACAGAAACTTAAAAAAAAAAAAAAAAAGGAGAGGTGGTAATTTCCATAAGAGCCTAGATCATGGTTCAATCCATAGGGAGGAAGGGGACTATGACTGGGGTGGTTACATGCAGCACTGCTGGGCAGCAGCAAGGCTTGATTTCTTGGCCTGAGTGGTGGTTGCAGGTGTATCCACCTTCATTAAGTCATGCAACTGTTTTTATGTAGTGATCTAGCATTAGGCCTTTGAAGAATGACATTTACAGTAATTTGAATGACAAAAAGCCAGCCTTGGGAAGATCGGAGAATATCCAGAAGACGAAATAGAGAGGGAAAAGATCTCAGGTGGGCTTAAGCCTTGGCAAGTTTGAGAGCTGAATGAATTCTAGTATGACTGAAGTGGTGGGCTGGAGAAGAGCATTCATCAGTCACAAATTGCTGCTTACTTGCAAATAGCAGAAATTATAAATGCTGACTTGGGGGCACTAGGTATATCCTAGTTCTAAGACACAAAATATTTCAAACGTACAAAAACTTACAGGCAACACTTTCAAATAAAGATTAACACTATTATCCACACTGAAAGTTGAACATTTTCCTTCCCCCCTAACACATGCACATAGTTTAACTAAACTTTGAACATGTTATTGCTTAGTATGCATGAACTATCCATACTAAAATCTGGGGAAATGATCTATTATATTATAAAAACGAGAAGTAAACAGTATCTAAATCAGATCATCTTCTAGACAATTCCCTAAACCTCTCAAAAGTCAAACATACTACCTAGCCTTACCTCCTCTAAATCCCAATCATGGGGGGCCTCCACAGGAAATCTGGAGCAGTCCAAGGAGTCGGCCTTGAATTTACACTCTCTGTCAGGATGGCTGACCCGAAACAACCCTCCAAGCTCTTCTTGGGCATTATCATCATCATCTTCATTATCCTCTATCACTAAAGAGTCCACCAGACAGAAAAGTGAGAACAAAAACAATGACTCTGAAGGACTCATCATATCATCTTCAACAACTTGGGCCACACATCTTGGAACTCAGGAGGATGCAGACACCTGTTTGTGGCAGGTATGGTGACAGTTCCAAGTGAGCCTGTCGCTGAGAGGGCAGGTTCACCACAGAGAGAGAAAGGCCAGGAAACTACTGCTCAATGTTTGGAGGACTCCTCTTGGGAGATAACAGCAGAGTTCACTGAGGAGTAGGACTAGGAGAGGTTGGGGTAGGGAAGGGATACTTAAAGGCAGAGCTTTAAATTATTACAGAAGAGTTTCTTTGATGAATGTTGAGTATCTAATCACTGAGAATACTTAGGCAAAACCTGAATAAAAATCAGTTTAGGGCCAGCAGGTGGTATGGACGTTAAGGTGGCTGGATTCCACATGCACAACTCCTATGTTGTTCATGTGCCAGACCCAGTAGCTTGAAAAACATGGTAAGTGTGTGCATGTGCATGCCCAAAATCCTGGGAGAATGGAAGAGAAAGGATGTTAGCATGGCCATCCCCCTCTGGGGGGTGATTTCTCACGTTTCCCCCATCTCCTCTCTCTGTCTCTCTATAGTGAGTCCATACACCCCATAGCAAACTGTTAAAAAATTTTTTTACTGCAACTTTCCAATTTAATGCTCCTGGCCAAACTTATACTACCTTGATCTATTTGTGGGGTAACTGCAGAATACAACATAAAGCTCACACTTTGATTTTTAAAAAAGAACATACAAACAAGTCTAATAAAATGTAAAATTAAAGAACTTGGGTAAAGAAAAAAATGAAGATTTTTACAGACAAGTGTTTTTCTGATGCTAAAATCTTCAAAAAAAAAAAAAAAAAACTTTCATAAAGGTACCAGCAGTTAGTGTAATGGCTATGTTGCTGGACTCCCATGTAGTACACCGCGGTTCGAGTCCCGGACTCGGTGGCTTAATACTCACACTGGGCGCGATTTCTCGCTTTCTGTCTCTCTGTCTGTCTCTGTCTGTCTGGTGAGCACATGCGCCCTATAGCAAAAATCTATTAAAAAAAATAAAAATTTGTAAAGGACTTTAAAATAAGGGAGCGCGAAATGCCTTTATGGCAAACAAACTCGTAAATCTATTTCATGTGACCAACCTGTAGTCCTCATGAACTGATGATTAAAAACATCTGCCAAGGGGGACCAGCAGGTGGCATGGTGGTTAAGGCGCTGGACACTCCCACGTGGCCGACCACGGTTTGAGTCCTGGGTTTGGTGGCTTACTTTCTCACTTTCCCTCTCTCTCTTTCTCTGTGTCTCTCTCTGGTCAAATTAAAATAAATAAATAAACAAATAAAATAAAATAAATAACTCTTTAAAAAATCTGCCAAATATAAAATTTGATAGTCAGGAATTACAGATGTCAAAAATATACCAGCAGTTAGTGTAATGGCTATGTTGCTGGACTCCCATGTAGTACACCGCGGTTCGAGTCCCGGACTCGGTGGCTTAATACTCACACTGGGCGCGATTTCTCGCTTTCTGTCTCTCTGTCTGTCTCTGTCTGTCTGGTGAGCACATGCGCCCTATAGCAAAAATCTATTAAAAAAAATAAAAATTTGTAAAGGACTTTAAAATAAGGGAGCGCGAAATGCCTTTATGGCAAACAAACTCGTAAATCTATTTCATGTGACCAACCTGTAGTCCTCATGAACTGATGATTAAAAACATCTGCCAAGGGGGACCAGCAGGTGGCATGGTGGTTAAGGCGCTGGACACTCCCACGTGGCCGACCACGGTTTGAGTCCTGGGTTTGGTGGCTTACTTTCTCACTTTCCCTCTCTCTCTTTCTCTGTGTCTCTCTCTGGTCAAATTAAAATAAATAAATAAACAAATAAAATAAAATAAATAACTCTTTAAAAAATCTGCCAAATATAAAATTTGATAGTCAGGAATTACAGATGTCAAAAATATACTCCAATCACCCACTTCCCTCACCCCCTTTGCAGGATATAAGAAACTCAAATGTTTCTAGCTCTGAACCACTTCTTTACCTGTGCCATAAATAAGCTTTCGTAGGTTGGGAGCTGCTTGTTGCTGCCTCAGAAAGGCCTCAGCTGCCTTCCTGGAAAGGTCTTCTTTCCACTTGAGGGCACCTGAAAGGACCAACACCACCATCCAGTTAAGTCTGTTTACTCATTCTCCCTGCTCACTCACCCTAAACTCCATTCATGACACGTTTGAACAGCTAACGAAATCTCCACAACAGCAGATCATCACTCACCAAATGCAGACATTATTTATAGCAGCATTCTGAGGGCAAGTTTATAGCAACAGCCAACTATTATTAAAGCATACCTGAAGTTTCTGTGGAATAGTTAATTTCTTCCTTGTAATCCTCTTCCTCTTTGAGTAAATCTTCTATATTACTAGTCTCATCAATTAAGTTCTCTAACTCCAGTGTCTGCCCACTGCCCACTTGGGAAGGCTTTTGAATCTTTTCCCTAATGCCCTCTTCATTTCCTGAGTCATCCTCCTCTGAAGTAACCAAGGAGCTTTCTCCAGATTCATCTTCAGACACAAATGCTTCTTCAGCTGTGCAATGACCAGAATCAGAAGTGGCGAGAGCTACTCTTTTCCTCTGCAAAGATGTGTCCAGATTCGAATGTTCACGCTGATGGTAAGCCGGCGTCAGTTTTGCTTTACCACTTTCCCCAACAGCTGTGGATTCTAAAACACCTCCCTCTCCTCCCTCAGTGGAGTCCTCCTCTTCACTGCTTTCATCAGCTTCCTCTGCCTCTCCTTCTTCCCCTGAGCTCCTCTCCAGGTCATCATCACTATCAGCAAATGCTGGCAGATCCACCTCACTGTCATCTTCTAACTCCTCCAGTTTCTGCCGTTTGATGCCCTTCACAGCCTTACACTCTTTATTAGTTGTTTTGGGATCTTCTTCCTCTTCTGTTTCGTCACCACTAGAACCATTTTCCACACTTTCATCTTCAGACATTTCATCATCTTCACTGTCACTCTCTCCAGACTCATCTTCTTTATCTCCAAAAATGGCCTTCCGACGTACTCGGCCAGTTTCCAAATCCATTTGCTTTTCCTCTTTTGGCATCCATGGACTATAAAACAAGGTAAACACAAAGTAATTCAGTTTGTACAATTACAAATTAATTCAGCCTGTATTCGTTAGTGGCAATATAGTCAATTCAAATATAAAGAAACAGAAATGTCAAGAAATAGTTTAAGATGACATTGCATCGAAAAAAATTACTTGAAAGCAATGGAATGGTAGGGACCAGCAGGTGGCGTGGTGATCAAGGCGCTGGACACTCCCACATGGCTGACCACGGTCTGAGTCCCGAACTGGCGGCCTGCTTTCTTGCTTTCCCTCTTTCTCTCTCTCTGTATCTCTGGTCAAATTAAAAAAAATAAATGAATGAATAAATAAAATTAAATTCAATTCTAATTTTAGGAAAAAAATGTTCAAAAGAAATTTAATGTTTAATAGATCTTTTGGAAAACTGGTTTGTTTCTTTTCTTTTCAAGCCACTGGGATTGGAACTTAATCTGCTCAATTGGCCATGTGGGATCCAACCAATTAATCTCTGCACCACCTTAGAAATGGTTTGTTTCTTAGATAGAAATGCATGATTCTTAGAGGAAATGGCTGATTCTAGGCCCAAAGCATGAAGAGGATGAAGCCAGCTTGGATCTTCCTGTGGTGTTAGAAAGCAAGAAGTGCTCAAAGAGTAATAGGGATGTGTCAAGAACACACAGAAGAGATTGAGATCTCTCATGGCCAGATGTAGGCATCAGAAAGAACACTGACAGTAATAGGATAGTAACGCATGAAATAAAATGAAAGTCTATCAATCAGCAGAGGCACTGCAATAAAGGGGAACGTGAAAGTTCTTTCTTAAGAACATCATCTTAAAACAAAACAAAATAAAACACATCATCTAACAAATGCAGAGGAGTGGAGATAAGAAAATTGTCATTTTGAAATCGCCAATGCCACAGCTGATAGAGAAAAATTATTAAGATGCTAAAACCACAGGAGGAAATGAAAACTATATAACACAATTGAATATAACACTATATATAGTAGTATATATGTTCACAAATAATGAAAATGTAGAATCGAAAAAACTAAAATTACACCATAAGAGAATGGGTAAGTTAGAACATACTAATAACAAAATGATGACTATATGAAAATCAAATAGAATAAAGGAAATGCTCAGAATATGGAAATAACATTTTACATCTGGGACCAGCAGATGGCATAATGGTTACAGTGCTGGACTCCCATGTGGCTGACTGCAGTTCGAATCCCAGATCCAGTGGCTTAAAATTTATGCTGGGCACATGTGCACTCAAAATCATGAGAGGAGAATGGAGGAGAAAGAATTGTGGGGGTGATTTCTCACTTTCTGTGTCTCTGTTTCTGTCTCTCCGGAGAGATTTTTACCCTGTGGCAAAAATCTCTCTTACAAAAAAAAAAAAAAAAGAAAAGAATATCCATGTAAGCAAGGTTGATGCCAAATTGAAGTGTTAGGGAAAAAAAAAAAAAAAACTGAATATAACAGTGATCTTTTAATTAATACTTATTCAACATTCGACAGACATCATACAAGGTAGTTAATGCACAATTTAACAAATTACATATTAAATAATCTCCATCATTTTTAGGTTGACTTTGAGTGGGAGTGACAAACCAATATAACAAAACCACAGTTATAAAATACCCACCACATATAAAGGTATACAAATTCCCATGCTGAACTGAAAAAAATTTCACGTAATTTATGGTAGTAGAAATTTACTCACAGAAGATACTGTAACACAACCTAAGTAAAACTTGCAGAGACCAGAAATGTTGCTTCTGGATAGCCACCTAAAAAGCTACCTGACTCTGCTCTAGTATTTTAGCCACCAAAAGAAAGTCAAGGGGGCTCTAGGTCTCCTAAGAAATAAAAAGGTCTTGTAGTCTTTGAAGAATATTTTGAGCCCTGTTAAAAAGTGAGCCCTGTACTTGTCTATTTATGAGAGTACAGGAAGGAGGAAAAGGTCAGGGAGGGAGAGAGAGAAGTATTTTTACAGGGTCTTGCCATGTTCCACCATTCTCCTGTTCCAGCCTCCCAGTCAGGCAGGATCAAATGCACACATCCCTGCACAAAAACTGTTTTAGGTTGTGCCAGCAATAGAAATCAGGCCTAACCCTGCAGAGCAGGGTCCTCCCATTTGAGCCACTGTAGCTGAGAATTTAACTTTTTATTTTATTTTTAGAAAAATACTCCCATGTAATGTTATATAAGTGAAAGTGCTCAGAAAATACACACACTCAGAAAGCAAAACAAAACAACCTAGAGTGAATCACACCAAAATATGCTATGATGGCAGAATTATGGATAACAATCACTGTAGTAAAATATTAAAAATAAAAAGGGCAGACTTACCCTTGGTTGTCTATATCCTCTGAACCCAGGGGTTTGGAATCAGAAAAAAGTGTCACTCTGCTTGAAGCCATCTTGGCATCAATAGTGGAATGGGTAGAGATTAGACTCTGCACCAGTTCGTGGGTGGGTCTCACCTCCTCCTGTCAAGCCCACCAAAAAGGGCAAATGAGAAAAACATAAAGATTCTGAAGAGACACACTGGTTTTGATCAGTTTTTCAAAATTACTCTAATATCCTAAATATAGTTCCAGGGAACCTTTCTTACTCACTTAAAAGGATAAGAAGAAAATTCTTACAACAGAGTTCCAGAGTGATCCTCGTCATTAACTTTTTTTTTTTTGGAGAGGTTTCTGTTACAGGGCACATGCGCTCGCCAGACAGACAAAGAGAGACAGGGAGACAGAAAGCAAGAAACCACCCCCCAGGGGGATGGCCACGCCGCAATTCCTTCCCCTCCATTCTCCTCTCAGGGTTTTGGGCACACACGCACACGTGCCTGGCATGAGTTTTAAGCCACCGGGTCTGGGACTCGAACCACAGTTGACTACATGGGAGTCCAGCGACATAGCCATTATGCTGACTGCTGGTCCCATCTTCATTAACTTTTTCAAGTTCACAGAATATATAACCTGATAACCTAAATACTCAGCTACAAAGACCTAGGTCTCAATGTCACAGAAAGCATTTGTTAATATTTTAAAACAACAAAATTTCATTTCAGAACGAAGAAATAAAAACCTGAAGTCATTTTTAAAAAACATAATGAAAAGACCACTCTGAATGACAAAAACAGAATGAAAAAATGAGAAAGACCAAGAGCTGGAAAGCACAGATTTTTACGAAGAGGGATGGGCTGTGCATCACCACAATGACCATGGAGCCAGTGCTGGGGGACTCAGACAACAGGATGAGAGGACAGGCCTCTTACTTTCTGGCTGGTACAATGAATATTCCTTGTGTTGACAATACGCATTTGTGCCTTTACCGTAAGTAATGAGCAAAGAGAAAAAGCTTCAATAAATAAAAAAGTTGACTATGTTATTCTCTGTGATAAAGACATATTTAAGAATGATGAGAGATCAGAGCAAAGATTCCCCTCTCACCGATGCCTGTAAACCATGGCTGCCGCCAAGGTCAACATAAACAGCATCCTTGTCATACAGCACACCCCCAACTCCAGAGAGAGGTGCGTAGACCAGCTTCTCCTTCTCATTTAAGCAGCGCTTCTTCTGTTGTTCAGGAAGAGCACATGGGTCTGGGAGGAAAGTGACATCACTCACAGCAAAATCTCCTACACCTAGAAGACAGAGTCCAGGAGCTGACTTCAGCTAACAAGCAGACAATAGTACAAACTATTAGCTGAAGCCATCCCAAGAGTTCTACAACAATATACCTGGCATGTGAATCTGGCTTTTATTTTTCAAGTGTGCTCCTCTTAAGTAACCATAAAGAGAAACCTTTCGGTCACACTTGATGTTTGTTCGGATATCCTCTGGGTTTGTCAAATCTTCCATCCTAGAAAAATGAAAATCATACAATAAACATGAACACTCTCTTCAAGTGTAACTCATCACAATTTTTTTTAATTGGAAAAGGGTAAGTTAGTTCACCAAAAAGGGGAGCGGGGGGAAAGCACCCAACTGGCTCAATCATGCTGCAATCCTCCTTCTTCCATTTCTCCATCCCATCAGGATCCCATACATGCATGCACACACAGTTGTTACATTTTACAAGCCACCAGGCTGGGATCTGAACTGTAGCTGGCCATGTAGGATCTGATTCTCTATGCAAAGCAGTTAACCATTGTGCTATGAGGCTGGTCTAGTTCACTACATTCCTGTTCATTAAGTACACTGCTAAAAACAAAACAGAAAATACAAAAATAAGCAAGCACAGTTTACCATTTACCAGAGGAAAAGGAGTTCATGCATGATGCCTCCACTACAGTTTGAATATATTTCCCCAAAATATGTATTGGGCCACCGTGGCAGGAGTAAGAGGGTAAAACTTAATTCAATTATGGCATTAAAAGATAGGGCTGTTGGGGAAGGGATTAGGATTAAGGTCGTTAATCCAAATGACCCTAATGGCCCTAATCTTGGGCCCCCATGACTGAGTTCTGGTGGGTTTAAGAGGAAAGGTAAGAGGGGACCAGCAGTTAGCATAATGGCTATGACCACAGTTCGAGTCCCCGACCCAGTGGCTTAAACTCACGCCGGGCGCGTGTGCGTGCGTGCCCAAGATCCTGAGAGGAGAATGGAGGAGAAGGGATTGTGGCGTGGCCATCCCCCCTGGGGGGTGATTTCTCACTTTCTGTCTCTCTGTCTCTGTCTGGCGAGTTCGCGCGCCCTATAGCAAAAACCTCTCCAAAAAAAGAAAAAGAAAAAGAAAAAAAAAAAAAAAGAGGAAAGGTAAGAGACCAGAGTCTCATGGACAGTCACTCTGCTCTGCTCTCATCTTTGTGATATGATCAGAACTCTATAATATGATCACCAGATATGGCCTCTGGACCTCGGACTGCCAATCTGTGAGCCAGATAAACTTCTTTTTTGCAAATCACCCAGTTTCAGATATTTTCTGTTATTACAACAAAACAGACTTAAATACATCTCTCTTAGGCTCCATGTGACATTCATTACATAAGATACCAGAAAGAGAAATGGCATCGAGACTGGCAGATGGGGTAATGGTTACAGTGCTGGACTTCCACGTGATTTACTGCAGTCTGAGTTACAGACCTGGCAGCTTAAAAGTCACATCAGGTGTGTGTGCATGCGCGTCCAAAATCCTGAGAGGAGAATGGAAGAGAAGGCACTGCAGCACGGCCATTCCCTCTGGGGGGTGATTTCTTACTATCGCTCTGTCTTCAAGTGAGTACAAGTATCCTATAGCAAAAATCTCTCTTAAAAATTTTTTTTTGTTTTAAATTAAAAAGAAAGAGAATTGATATCTACCTAGGGTTAGAGAAGGGTAAGGGACACATTCAGAAATCCTTTTATAGCAGAGGGTTAATCTGTGATCTGAGTTTTTTAGTGTGGCCTGGATCCTGGCAAGGATCCAAGCTGAGAAAACCACAAAAGGAAAGATACAGGGAGGGAGGGGAAGGCATGGAGTGACTACAATACCATGGCACAAAGACAGTGTCACTGAAATCTGAGACTGAAAAGTAGGACAGGACCAAAGCATGGAGCCAAACAATTAAAAATCTCATTTTTCTAAACATCTCATAATTTACTTACTCCTAATGGCATAGCATCTTTAAGTACAGAAAGAGAAAGCAGACACTGTCTATCAACTTCATTTCTTCCTCTAACTATACAAATGAGTACAACACACCATTGTTGTTCTTTTTCTAGTTTTTTCAGCTTTGAAATGTATAGTCATTGTAGTCTCGTGGTTAAGGGAGCCAGATCTCACATGGTCAACTATAGCTTGACTCCCAGACTTAGAGACTTAGAAAAACACAGAAAAATGTCATGACTTTCTCACAATTTAAGATGTGCCCCAAATCGTGATAGGATAGAGAAAAAGAGCAGGGACTGTGGCATGTCCATGTCCCAACAGGGGGATACTCCCTCCCTTTCTCTTTCTCTGTATGTCAAGCATACATGTACCCTCTGGCAATCTAAACAAAACAAAAACAGAAAGGAAGGAAAAAAAAAATATATGGCCAAAAAGAAAGTTCACTTTTTACCTGTCTGCCAGAATATAAGGGTGTGATGTTTGCCACGTGAGAGGCCTAAACTTCATAACTGTAATAAAACGGCCCAGATTATGGATCTCTTGGTTTTGATATTCTCCATGTACCATTCCAGAAAGGTAGAATAGCTTGGCACCCTAAAAATTAAAGAAAAGAAAATTTTCAATTTAATTCTTGCTGCTATTGCTAAGGCCCCAGATAGAAGAAATGCTAACAGCAAAGAGACTGTGTCCGGATGATTCCATAGCCCCACCGGCTCCTTTCAAGGCTTAACATGCTAAGACCTGTATGGGCAGACTGCTCTCTGGGCAAAGAGTGGCATCATCCGGGTATGGAGAGGACAGGGAGGGTCCCGAACACAGGAAGGGTTCTGTGACTGTGAGGCCACAGTGGGATGGAAAGGAAGCAGGACTTGCAGTTCCTGTTTTTGTAACTGGGAGACACTTGTGATGAGCTCTATTAAACCATGAAACCCCTAACAGGTGTAGACACCAGGTGGTATGGGGGGACACAGACACAAACGAGGTCCAGAATAAAGACTATCTTGAGGATAATACTCTAGGGATTGTGAACAAATGCCTAAAAGAAACTCAGGAGGTGAATCTTAAAGAGATGATTATTAACGTCCTTCGTCTGGTTTAAAAGGATTAGAGTGGGTGTCCAAAAATTATTTCTCCTCCTACCGGGTAGACTTCTGTCCAGAACCTGTGTTTTAGTCGCTTCTTTGTCTTCTTCAGTTGTTTATTATGCTTGAAGGAGTCTAGATGGGTGAGAACCCCCATAATTTTAGGAAAGCCATGCACTTGACAGATGTTTAGAAACTCAAATGTTTCCATTTCGAACCCAAAGCTGGCATCTATAAGCATCAGCACCTATAAACAGAACACACAATTTCTCAAGGAAGCTACCAAAATCAGAATATACCATGAGCCAAATCTAGCCCATGACATGTTTTCGTAACTAAACACAGCCACATTATATTGTCTATAGCTGCTTCTGTACTAAAAGTGCAATTAAGTACTTGCAACTGAAACTAAGATTCACAAAGTCTAAAATATTTATTAGTTTAGGACCTTTACCAAAAAGTCTGCAACTCCTGCTCTGGACTTTAGTCCAAATGCCTGCTTACCCTGAATTACCCTGATAGGGACCAGCAGATGGTATAATTGTTACATGGCTCCACTCCCACATAGTCAACCGTGATTTGAGTCCAGGACCTGGTGGTTTAAAACTCACACAGGGTCATGTGCATGTGTGCCCAAAATATTGAGAGAATGGAGAAGGGATTGTGGTGTGGCCATTCCCTCTGTGGGAGGTGATTTCTCACTTTCTGTTTCTCTATTTCTCTGACAAGTGCACACACCCTACAGCAAAAATCTCTTAAAAAAAATTACCCTGACAGAGGAAATATCCTGATTTGTTCTAAAAGGTAACTGTAAGATGATAGTCACCAGAGTATAAACTTCCATTTGTAGAAGCTGGATGTTTAAGAAACAACTCAGAAAAGGCTGTCTAATTGGACTCTTATCTGAGAAATCTATGATGCTTTTCATAAGGTATTTATAAGGCACATCACAGATCCCTGACTCCCAATAATGAGAACAAGTGATAATAATAAAAAATATCAAAGGGGCTAGCAGATAACATAGTGGTTATATCCCTGTATGCCCATATGGCCAACCACGGTTCAAGACCTGGACCTGGTATAAGAACAGCAGTTGGCGTAATGGCTGTGTTGCTGGACTCCCATGTAATCAACCATGGTTCGAGTCCTGGACTCAGCGGCTTAAATTCATGCCAGGCACGTGTGCATGCATACCTAAGATCCCAAGAGGAGAATGGAAAAGGGGTTGTGGCATGGCCATTCTCCCTTGTGATGAGTGGGGTGATTTCTCGCTTTCGGTCTCTGTCTTTCTGGAGAGCGCACATGCCCTATAGCAAAAACCTCTCAAGAAAATAAAATAAAGACCTGTACCTGGTGGCTTCAAATTCATGCCAGGTATGTGTGCAGACATACTCAATATCCTGGGAGGATAATGGTGAAGAGATTATGGCATGGTCACCCTCCCTGGGGGGTGATTTCTCATTTTCTCTCTTACTGTCTCTGTCTCACTCTCATTGGCAAATGCATGTACCCTAAGGCAAACAACCTCTAAAAAATAAATAAATAAAATAAATATTAAAATTCACAGAAAACTGGGCTCGTCCCATAGCACAGTGTTTAAGTGAAGTGCATTGGGAGCCAGATTCCACATGGTTGACTAACATTTGAATCCTTACCCCAAGGGGCTTGAAAAACATACCAGACATATATGTGTATACCTAAAATTCTGATGGGATGGAGAAATGGGAAAAAGGAGTAGGATCAGGAAGAATAGGTGGCAAACGATATCTTAGCTGCCAATCTTTGTTAAATAATTACGTATACTTCTATCAAGATTTAAGATATATTATGACAACCCAGAGCAGAGCAATCCATGCAGTGGAATACTGTACTGAAAAGAATAAGGTTGAGCTATAGAGCTTACTGATTAAATAACTGTTGTATGACTATGTCCCACCAAAAGATGTGCTCACTTGCTCTCCTGTCATGTTCCTTGGCAATTAAAAAATGAAAAAAATCCCAGAACATTAATCTTTTATTTCAATTTTTCTCCTAGGAAAATATCAATTTGCCTTTTTTTTTTTCTTTTTAGGGAGGGATGTTACAGGAAAGCTTTATCTTAAAATGTTAATTTGTATCATGCATTGCTTAGGAAAAAAAAAAAAAAGCTACCAGTAATTGAGTCAAAAGATAGCGCTATCAAAAACTACAAGCAGATAAGACCCATTTTTAAAACTTAAGACTAGCTTCCAGCCCAACACCTAGCAAAGTACATCTGAGGTGGGCCCAGATCTGATCCTTTAACTGAAAAGCCTCTGCCCCAAACCTCTCTCTCCAGATCAACACCTAGCAAAGTGAGAATCCATGTGCATCTGAGATGGGCCCAGTCCTGATCCTTCTGCACACGTACAAGTGCACCACACAGATTTCAACTTTTGCCTTTCTAAAAAAATTTTCCCTTTCTATCTTTTTTTTCTTTTATTCTTTGTTTTATTTTCTTTTACCTGACTTACTCACCTTGCTTCTCATCTTTCACATTCTGAGGGTCTACACAGACCTAGGTGTACAGTAGAGAAATATATGACTACTTTAGGGTCATAGAAAACCTCCACCCCCACTGAATTACTTGCCACAAAAGAGAGAAACTCGGATTGTGGTGTGGCCATTCCCTCTGTGGGAGGTGATTTCTCACTTTCTGTTTCTCTATTTCTCTGACAAGTGCACACACCCTACAGCAAAAATCTCTTAAAAAAAATTACCCTGACAGAGGAAATATCCTGATTTGTTCTAAAAGGTAACTGTAAGATGATAGTCACCAGAGTATAAACTTCCATTTGTAGAAGCTGGATGTTTAAGAAACAACTCAGAAAAGGCTGTCTAATTGGACTCTTATCTGAGAAATCTATGATGCTTTTCATAAGGTATTTATAAGGCACATCACAGATCCCTGACTCCCAATAATGAGAACAAGTGATAATAATAAAAAATATCAAAGGGGCTAGCAGATAACATAGTGGTTATATCCCTGTATGCCCATATGGCCAACCACGGTTCAAGACCTGGACCTGGTATAAGAACAGCAGTTGGCGTAATGGCTGTGTTGCTGGACTCCCATGTAATCAACCATGGTTCGAGTCCTGGACTCAGCGGCTTAAATTCATGCCAGGCACGTGTGCATGCATACCTAAGATCCCAAGAGGAGAATGGAAAAGGGGTTGTGGCATGGCCATTCTCCCTTGTGATGAGTGGGGTGATTTCTCGCTTTCGGTCTCTGTCTTTCTGGAGAGCGCACATGCCCTATAGCAAAAACCTCTCAAGAAAATAAAATAAAGACCTGTACCTGGTGGCTTCAAATTCATGCCAGGTATGTGTGCAGACATACTCAATATCCTGGGAGGATAATGGTGAAGAGATTATGGCATGGTCACCCTCCCTGGGGGGTGATTTCTCATTTTCTCTCTTACTGTCTCTGTCTCACTCTCATTGGCAAATGCATGTACCCTAAGGCAAACAACCTCTAAAAAATAAATAAATAAAATAAATATTAAAATTCACAGAAAACTGGGCTCGTCCCATAGCACAGTGTTTAAGTGAAGTGCATTGGGAGCCAGATTCCACATGGTTGACTAACATTTGAATCCTTACCCCAAGGGGCTTGAAAAACATACCAGACATATATGTGTATACCTAAAATTCTGATGGGATGGAGAAATGGGAAAAAGGAGTAGGATCAGGAAGAATAGGTGGCAAACGATATCTTAGCTGCCAATCTTTGTTAAATAATTACGTATACTTCTATCAAGATTTAAGATATATTATGACAACCCAGAGCAGAGCAATCCATGCAGTGGAATACTGTACTGAAAAGAATAAGGTTGAGCTATAGAGCTTACTGATTAAATAACTGTTGTATGACTATGTCCCACCAAAAGATGTGCTCACTTGCTCTCCTGTCATGTTCCTTGGCAATTAAAAAATGAAAAAAATCCCAGAACATTAATCTTTTATTTCAATTTTTCTCCTAGGAAAATATCAATTTGCCTTTTTTTTTTTCTTTTTAGGGAGGGATGTTACAGGAAAGCTTTATCTTAAAATGTTAATTTGTATCATGCATTGCTTAGGAAAAAAAAAAAAAAGCTACCAGTAATTGAGTCAAAAGATAGCGCTATCAAAAACTACAAGCAGATAAGACCCATTTTTAAAACTTAAGACTAGCTTCCAGCCCAACACCTAGCAAAGTACATCTGAGGTGGGCCCAGATCTGATCCTTTAACTGAAAAGCCTCTGCCCCAAACCTCTCTCTCCAGATCAACACCTAGCAAAGTGAGAATCCATGTGCATCTGAGATGGGCCCAGTCCTGATCCTTCTGCACACGTACAAGTGCACCACACAGATTTCAACTTTTGCCTTTCTAAAAAAATTTTCCCTTTCTATCTTTTTTTTCTTTTATTCTTTGTTTTATTTTCTTTTACCTGACTTACTCACCTTGCTTCTCATCTTTCACATTCTGAGGGTCTACACAGACCTAGGTGTACAGTAGAGAAATATATGACTACTTTAGGGTCATAGAAAACCTCCACCCCCACTGAATTACTTGCCACAAAAGAGAGAAACTCATCTTCATAAATCTGAATTCAAATCTCTTTCTGTGGATACCACATTGCAAAACATAGTAGCAGAGGAGAAACTGGCATTGAAGTACCTCACAGTAAAGTGAAGCATACAAGCTTACACTTGCAGAAAGCTCCAACAAATTAGCGAAATATGCACATACCACCAAATGACTGCAAAGTAAGCAACAGGGAGAAACACAGAGCTGCACAGAGAATGCGGCTCACCTCCCACATTCCTCTAAATTCTCCACTGAAACCCCGTAATTCAGCCCAGGTACACCTGGTTCTTTGGAAACTGTGAAGCCTTTGTAACATCCAGTTCCATCGACAAAAGCGCAAGTTGCTTGGTGAACCTCAGGGAAACGGAACTGCAGAGATATTGTGGGTCATCTCTTCCTGCACGCCTCTAATGCTCAGAATTAACTCCAAGAAAGTAGGAAGAAATGTATAATCCATCAGATGACCAGAAACCACCACAGAGGCACAAGAAATATGAGAAACAAGAAAATATCTCTCCTCCAAGGGGAAACAACAGCCTTACATCATCCACAGACAGTACAACAGAACTCATGGAAATATCAGATAAAAGAATTTAGAATATTCATAATGACAAAGCTAACAGAGATGCAAGAGAAGAGAGACAATGAATTCCAG